GGGAGTCTCTCCTTCTGCCATGTGGGATCTAGGAACCAAACTCAAGTCCTCAGGCTTCGCAGCAAGTGCCTTTACTGTCTAAGCCATCTCACTACCCTCTAAGTGTTTTTAAAACTCCCAAAATAGGGACTGGAGAGACGGCTCAGCAGTTAAGAGCACTGACTGCTCTTGCAGATGACCCGGATTCGATTCCCAGCACCCACATGGCGCCTATGAACCATCCATAACTCCAGTTCCAGAGGAATCTGAAACCCTCTTCTGACCTCCAAGGCATTGCACAACACAGGCGCACTCACATATCAGAGTAAAATTTTTATTTATATCTGGAGTTTGATGAATTTTAAGGAGTGCTTTCCTGTAAGGATAAGATGTGGAGTTCATTTAAAATTTCAATGTAAAAGCGTTATCCACTTAAAACATGACTGGTGAGTATAAAATAAAAAGGAAAATCAAGGAATTTTAAAAAAGTATTCTTTTTGTTGTTTTTTGAGACAGGGTCTCCCTGTAGCTGCCTGTAACTCATTTGTAGACCAGGCTGGCCTCGATCTCATGGATATCTGCCTGCCTCTGCCTCCTGAGTGCTGGGATTAAAGGCGTGCGCCACCACACCTGGAATTAAGGAATTTTTAAGTTTGAGGATACTTTTCACCTTGGCAATATCTTCTTTTAAAAATTTTTGTGTGTATGAGTGATTTGCCTTCACCTGTGTGTGCGTACCAGGTGCACACAATGCCTACAGAGATCAGATGAGGATGTCAGATTCCCTGGAACTGGAGTCATGGACAGTGTTAGCTGCCATGTGGGTGCTGGGAACGGAACCCAGGTCCTCTGCAAGAGTAGCCAGTGCTTGATTCTTGTTAGAATGAAAGGTCTAAGCTCATGAGCTGGGGACAGTGGCACGTGCCTGTGGTCCCAGCTACTTGAGCGGCTAAGGCAGATCTGCTTTAGCTGAAGACTTCAAGACAGCCCAGGCAACACCATAAGAGCCTGTCAATTTTTTTTTTAATTAAAAATTTTTTATTATTTTTATTTTATGTGTATTGCCTGCATGTGTGTAAGTGCACGTGTGTTATATAATGCCCTTGGAGGTCAGAAGAGGGCATAGAATTCCCCAGAACTGGGAACTGGTTGTTAGCCATCATGTGGGTGCTGGGAATCGAACCTCGTCCTCTGCAAGAGCAGTCAGTGCCCTAACCGCTGAGCCATCTCTCCAGCCCCAGATCCTGTGAATTTACATGACAAAACACAGCCTGCTAACTACAGACATCAGTCTCACCCAGAGGCTGGAAGTGAAAACCCCAGGCCCCACTGTAGGCCAAGTGACTCTGGATCTGCGTTCTCCCAAGTTCCCTGGGTGATTCATGTGCATATTACAAGCTGAGAAGCACTGGACCAAACCAAGACGCCAATGTTTTCAGGAAATCCTCTGGAAGACGGCTAGGCCGTTAAAGAAGCTGCAAACGGCAAACCGACAAAAGCAGCGGGAAGACCTCTGTGCTGATTCACCCTACAGAACTGTGTGAATAGGGCCCAATTCTGGAACATGTCACTAGAGAATCAGACCTCAGAGTGACCTGTTAAAGAGGTGTCACTCACAAGTAGGCCACTTCCCCTTAGTGCTTACAGTAATTACAACTTAATGAAAGTCTCATAGAACCAGTGGCTTTAGAAGCAGGGTGAACATAGAGTCTCTAGGATGACGGCATGTAGGATCTTGAGCTCCGAAGGGGCTTGTCCCCTCCTTCCATGAGGGTGATGAGGTTCCAAATAAACATGTTTTCTTGCTTGTAGAGTTCCATACTTACAAGTGATGGGCTCTTGGAGCAAATTTCTTAACTGCATAGAATCCCTATCTGTTACCTGTAGACTCTGCCTTCCAAGCTCAGAAGGTCATCATGAAGCTCAAAGATGAACCATTCTAGCTGGGTGGTATGGTGGCTCATGCCTTTAATCCCAGCTCGCAGGATTGAGGCCAGCCTGGTCTACATAGTGCGTTCCAGGCCAGCTTGGGCTACAGGGAGACCCTGTCTCAAAAACAACAACAAACAACCATTCTGAGAGCTCTGAGAACCTCCAGTGCTAGAGTGCAGCTCAACAGTAGAGAACTTGCCTAGCAAGAGTTTTTAGGTCTAAGTGTGGTGGTCACACCTTTAATCTCTACACTCTGGAGGTAGAGGAAGGTGGATCTCCAAGATTGAGGCCAGCCTGGTTTACACAGTAAGTTCTAGGCTAGCTGGGGCTACAGGGAGATCCTGCCTCAAAAAACAAAAATTCTAATTCCAGCATTAAGGAGATGGAGGCAGGAAAATCAGAAGTTCAAGGTCATCCTCAGTCGACTGGAGTGTTTGAGGACAGCCTGGGCTACAGGAGACCCTGTCTCAAAAACAAAGCAAAACAAAAGAAACATGTATTTATGACTTTCTCCATTACTTGCTTATAAAGATGACACTAACAGCTTAACACCTAATGAATTAGAGGAATCAGAAGTTCATGGAGTTAATCCTGGGAAGTCACTATGTAACAAGTTACTAAGCAACTCGAGCCCCACATTCCTAACCTTTCAGTGAGGGGTTGCAGAAGATGGCTTGCCTTTGGGGCAGGTGATGAGGCTCAACCCCAGGTCCTCCTGTATACTAGAAGTGCTGTGCCCTTGAGCTGTGTCCCAGAACTCTGTACTTCGACATAGGGTCTCACTGCACTGTTCAGGCAGGCCCTGAACCTGTGATCCTTCTGTGTCAGGCCCCCAAGTAGTTGGGATTACAGACCTGTGCCAGCAGGTCAGGCAAGATGGCTTCTTAACTGAAGTTAAGGGGTGAGGAAGAGGAGACCCAGCAACCTGCCTGATGCTCGTGGCAGGACCTTTAGACCACTTTTCCTTGGGGTCCCTATGAACTGAGTCCTCAGTTGGCAAATTCAGACACCCTCCCCCATTTCACCATCAAGAAACCCATTTGGGGGGCTGCAGAGATGGCTCAGTGGTTAAGAGTACTAGCTGCTCTTGCAGAGGACCTGGCCTGGGTTCAGTTCCCAGCACCAACATGATGGCTCACAGCTGTTCATAACTCCAGTTCCAGGTGACCCGACATGCTTCTCTGACCTCCGAGGGCACCAGACACCACATGGTACACATACATGCATGTAGGCAAAGCCATACACATAAAATAAAAATAAATCTTAAGAAAGAAAAAAAAAGAGAGAGAAAGAGAAAGACAAGCTCATTCTCAGGGACTCCAAAAGGCCTAATTTGCCAGCTGGCTCCCCAATTGGCTCCCTTTCCTGGATGGAGTGGCAGCTTTTGGCCCAGAGCCTCCTCCTGGTTCTCTCCTGGTGGAAGGCTGTTTGGGAGGACAGGCCCAGTCCTGAGAAAGGGACCGTCAGTGAAGGGGAGCCTTCCCAGCCTCTCCTGCTGTCCCAGGTCCCTGCCAACTCTGCCCTCCTGTTCCCAGGCTGCACTCCCATACCCCCCCCCCCCCCCCCCCCGCCACAGTGATCCCTTAAAGATCTGGTCACTGCAAAACACCAGTCTCCACTCTCACCATTACAGAGAAGGACACCCAGCCCTGGGAGCTCAGGACTGGCAGGATGGCCCTGCGGTCCTCCCCTGCCTCCCACTGCTGTGAATCCAGCCTGTGCATACTGTTCCTTCTCCTGGGATGCTCTTCCCGCCCCTCTTCCTCACAGGACTCTTGATTAATCCTTAGCTTTCAGCTCAAGGGTCACTTCCTTAGGAAGTCTTCCCTGACCCCCTGACCAGGTCAGATCACTGGAGTGCAAGTTGTCAGTCTGTTTCCCTGCTCTCTCATGGTGCTGAGGAAAAATGCAGTTTGACATTAAACCAAGGGTTTGGACTGGGGATGTAGCTCCATTGGTATATACACAATCCCCAGCACAGCATAACCAAGCATAATACCACATGCCAATAATGTCAGTGAAAGAGGTAGAGAGGAGGGTCAGAGGTTCAAGGTCACCCTTGGCTCCAGAGTGCTTTCTGGGCTATAGGAGACACTATCTCAAACAAATAAAAAGCAAGGATTTGATTAGACATAGTCCTATGAGGGGACGGACAGGAAGTGCTTTGGCCTACCTTTGTATCCCCAATGGGCCCAGTACATGGGGATGCACAGCAAAGAAACAGCCTTGAGGGGCTGCAGAGACGGCTCAGCGGTTAAGAGCACTGGCTGCCCTTGCAGAGGACCCAGGTTTGGTTCCCAGCACCCACATGGTGGCTAATGTCCATAACTCCAGGTCCAGGGGATCCAACACCCTCTTCGGGCCTCCATGGGAATTGCACACTGGTGGTGCACTTACATCCACGCAGGCAAAACACTCGTAAACACAAACATAAGAATAAACTTTCACAAGGAAAAATTAATAGCCGCTGAACGGATGAACGCTGATGGATCGCCTTTGCCTACTCAGCAATTCCTGCATTCACTCTGTGGGGACTCACCGGTGGGCACCGTGGTCCTCTACCTATACACGAACAGAATGAGAAGCCCGCTCCCAGTGGAGAAAACACTGTGATGCATTCTCATTTGCACTGGCTGCTCTTGTAGAGGGCCCAAGGTCAACTCCCAGCATCCACATGACAGCTAACAACTGTCCTAACTCCAGTTCCAGGGGATCCTATGGCCTCTCTGCCACGGGTGCACTTACATACATGCAGGCAAACACTCACACACATTAAAAAAAAATTATCCTTTGGTGAGAGTCTGGGGTTGTGGTGTGCATGCCTTTAGTCCCAGCACTCGGGAGGCAGAGGCAGGTGGATCTCTGTGAGTTCGAGGCCAGCCTGGTCTACATAGTGAGTTCTAGGCCAGCTGGGGATGCAGGGAGACCCTGTCTCAAAACGACAAAAAAAAAAAAAAAAAAAAAATCTATCCTTTGTGCTGTTACCTCCCAACCTCCAGAACAGAAAGACTAGAGGAAGACGAAGCTGGGCTCGGTGGCTCATGCCTGTAATCTCAGCACTTGGGAGCCCAAGGCAGGAGGATCATGAGTTCAAGGTCAGCCTGGGCTGCATCTCAAGACCCTGCCTCAAAAAACTACCACCACCAAAAAAGTATGAGCACTCAAGTCTAAACCTTGAGAGCACCTGAGCCCTTAACTGCTTCTGCTTTTAAGTAACACAGTGCCTAAAACATTTTCAAGGGCCGGCAAGACGGCTCAGCAGGTAAAGGTGCCTGGCGCCCACCTGACAACCTGACCTGTTAATTGTCTTCTGATCTCCACACTTGCGTGTGGCATGTGTGTGTTCACACACTCAAATAAATAAATGTAATTTTAAAATCCACAAATACTTGTTTCTTTTCCTTTTCTTTCTTTTTTGCAGTGCTGGGAACAAGTCTTCCACATGCTAGGCAAGCAGTGTGTCACAGGGCCACATCCCCAGCTTTTTTCACTGTTTTTGAAATTTTTAATTTATTTTTATGTACATGTTTGTATGTGTCTGCCTGTATGTGCACCATTCAGTGCTTGCAGGGCTCAGATCCCCCAGAACCTGAGTTATAGGCAGTTGTGAGCCTCCTGATGTGGGTGCTGGGAACCAGACCTGAGTCCTCTACAAGAGCGAGTGCTCTGAGCCACCAGCCAGCTCTCCAGCCCCTCTTATTGTTTTGAGACAGGGTCTCCATAAGTTGCTCAGGCTGGCCTCAAACTCACCCTGTATCCCAGGCAGGCCTCATACTCACCACCCTCCTACCTCAGCCTCCCAAATAGCTAGGCAAACAGGCCTGAGATCCCAAGTGCTCTCAGTGAGTCTTGGTGTCTGGGCCTTAACTTAATTTCTAAGCCACGACTACAGAACTTATATCCACTCTGAGAACACCACACGTTCAGTATCCCACAACACGAGCTCTCACCTGTGGCCTTCAGTTCCACAACAACTACAAGGTCCACATTCCCTGCCCCTGGTTGGGCAGGTCTCTCCTCCACAGGCTGTGCTCCCGTCTGCTCCAGTGGGCTGCCTGCCCCCAGCATCTCTTTACATGCTCCTCTGGCACCTCTGAGGCCTTCTGTACTATTTCTGGGCTTCACTGCCACATTGTTCCTAGTTTATTCTTTGTTCTGTTGCTTATTCCTCTGGGAGCAGGAAACAAAAAAATCCAACCTTGGCACGCATGTTGTTGCTGGAGACTTAGGTTCACATGTAATTATTCAAGTGCATTCCAAAGACACAGAAATAAAACCTGATTTCCCCCCAAGAGTTTCCCTTTGAGGGCAAACACTGGTTGTGACTTTAGTGTCAAGCTAAATGCAATCTGATGTGCACATGATTCAGTGCTTTGATTTTTCCAGGCAAGGCACAGCTTTTATGATGATTTTTAAAAATTACGCTTATTTATTTGTGCATTTATGTGTGTACAACTGTGCATTTGTGTGGCAGTCAGAGGACAGCTTGCAAGAGTCTGTTCTCTCCTTTCACTATCGGGGGCTCAGGGGCAAGTGCCTTTACCAGCTCAGCCATCTCACCAACTCTATACATTGGCTTTGGATAGGAAAATTCAGAGGTATGTTTGGCTGTTTTTAAAAGAATCCTCTAAGATTCTTTCCAGCTTTCACTGGGAGTACAGACAGGTTCAGAGTGCAGAGTGCAGAGTCTATTATGGACTTCATGGGTTTTCTTTTTTCTTTTTTTTTTGAGACAGGGTGTCCCTGAAGCCCCCAAATGGCCTGGAACACTTTATGTAGACCAGGCTGACCTTGAACTCTTAAGAGATCGGCCTGTCTCTGCCTCCTGAGTGCTGAGATTAAAGATGTGTGCAATCACAGACTTCTTTATCTCTAAAGCGTATTGGATTTAGTCAGTTTGGATGTGAAACAAACTATCTTGCTACTTCTCCAAAAATGAAGAAAAAAGCCAAGGGACCACAACCCTGAGGGTGTGCTGGTCAGTACCTGTGTGGCCCCTCCACTTAAACCCAGTCTGGACTGTGTTAAAATCTCTAGGAAAAGTTAGGCACAGGGGCTTATGTGGGAAGATTCCTGATCTCAAAGCCAGCTGCGCTACAGACTGAGACCCTTGTCTCAAGAACAAAAACCAAACCACCACCCAAAATTCCTGACAACCTGCTGAAAAGAGAAAACCCGGAGTCTAGCTACCATTTTATCTACAAAATGAAAGGTAAGAGAGAAAGAAAGTTTGACTGAAGTTTTTACTGTGACCTGGTCCCCAGCACTTATGCTACTGTCTCTGAAGCACCCAATTATGACTTTTCCAGACCCCAGAACTGTACTGCCCTGCTAGGGTGAGGGAATAAAGCACATTGTCTAGAAGTGGCTTAATGTGTGTCAGAGGGCGTCAGAAGTGGCTTTTGAAGCCAGGTGTGAAGGCCTTTCTTTGCCTTTAGTCCCAGCACTAGGGAGGCAGAGGCAGGCGGATCTCTGTGAGTTCAAGGCCAGCCTGGTCTACATAGTGAGTTCCAGGACAGCTGGGGCTACAGGGAGACCCTGACACACAAAAAAAAACCCCAAAAAACAAATCAACCAACAAAACAAAACAAATAAACAAGCAAACAAAAAAGTGGCCATTGAGGGGCTGGAGAGATGGCTCAGTGCTTAAGAGCACTGACTGCCCTTGCAGAGAACCTGGGTTCAATTCCCAGCACCCACATGGTAGCTAACAACTGTTTGTAACTCCAGTTCCAGGGGATCCCATGCCTTCTGACCTCCGAGGGTAATGCATGATACGGGCGCACTTACATACATGCAGGCAATGCACTCATACACATAAACTATAACTCCAGTTCAGGGGAATTCAACTCTCTCCTCTGACCTCCATGGGCACTGCACGACATGGGTGCACTTACATACATGCAGGCAATGCACTCATACACATAAAATAAAAATAATAAATATTAAAAAAAAGAAAAAACAGAGCAGCTACTGAGTTTGAAGCCCACAGCTTGCCTTCATGGGTCTAAGCCCTTCCCTTGGGTGTGTCGGGTGTCTGTACAGCTGGGGGACTCACCCGCCTGCCTTTTGCATTTCCTTGCGTATCAACTTATTTTTTAAAATATTTCATTTATTATTTTTATTTTATGTGTATGGGTGTATTGCCTGCATGTATGCGGAGGACAGAAGATGCTGTCGGATCCCCTGGGACTGGAGTTACGGACAGTTGTTAGCTACCATGTGGGTGCTGGGATTCGAACTCGGGTCTTCTGAAAGAACAACCAGTGTCTTAACTGCTGAGCCATCTCGCCAGCCCCTATTTTTAAAAAATATTTTATTTATTATTTTATGTGTATTGCCTGCATGTAGGTAAGTGCCCACGGAGGACAGAAGAGGCTGTCAGAGTCCCTGGATCTCGAGTTACAGAGGGGTGTTAGCTGCCATGTGGGTGCTGGGATTTGAACCCCAGCCTTCTGCAAGAACAATCAGTGTTCTTAACCCCTGAGCCATCTCTCCAGCCTCCTCAACTTCTTTAATAAAAGGTCCCAGCACCCTCCAGCAGGAGGCAAATGGTCCGGGAAGCACTCTTTCAGTCTTACCTTACCCCTGAAGTGGTTCCAAATTTAGACTTCTATAGGTCTGAAGCTGTGTTTCCTTTGGATCGAGGAAAAGGCCCGGCTGTCTGTGTTGATGGAGAGGTACTGAGTTCCTGAGCCCGCCAACACCACAGCCAGCACTCAGCGCTCTTCCTTCCCGATGCTCAACTTATCACCAGGTTCTGTCCGTCCTTTACAAAGTCTTGGAAACCTCTCCACTCTCTCCTATTCCAGCCAAAAAGCTAGGAGGGTTCAGTTTTCGCGTCTGGATGGGGAGAGTAGAAACATATACACGTGAAAAAAATACTGGAAAAAGGGCTTTTGAAAACCCATCTCGAGGCGCCGGCTGGCATGGCGCTTGTGTCGTCACAACCTACACCACCTGCAGTTCCTTCTGCGTCTAGAGGTTGCGGTGGGGACCCAGGGGTCCAGCTAGGGCCGGTGTGATGACTCTGGGGGTGGCCCTCGGGTGCCTTCACGTCTACACCAACGCGTTTCTGACCCTATAGACACGCACAGTCCCCATCTACACCTCAAAGCCAGATGTGGCCACAACTTGGGGAAGAATTTCATCCTTCCGCCTCCCAGCCTGCTTTCTTTTGTGCATTACACCCCCCACGCCCCCCGGGGCAGCCCACACCGGGTCCCGAGGTTTGTAGTCTATAGTGTGAGATCATAGAGCCTTGGAATTGGAACTCCGGGAGGTCGAGGAGCTCGACCCGCGCAGCCCCGTCCTCCATCCGTGGAGAACAGATGGAGTGAGTAGGCGTCCTGCCCAAAGTGCTCCCTACACTGCGCTCAAATAAGCAGTGACAGGCAGGCCCGACTTGACCTGCCCGCCTGGAGCCCTGACCACTCAGCGGCCCGGCCCCTACCGGGCGCCGACCTGTCACCCAGCCGCCCCCACGTGGACGCGGCTCGGAGGATCAAAGTCTGGCCGCAGCCCGCCAGGCGCAGGGGTG